ATAATGGAATGCAAAAGTGCCTGGGTGGAAGAAGTGCCCTATATTTTGTGGACCTACAGAACTACCCCAAGGAAGGCAACAAGTGAAACTCCTTTCTCGCTCACATATGGATTTGAAGCAAGGGCTCCAGCGGAGACCTCATTGTTAAGTTATAGAGTAGAGACCTTTGATGCTCAAGGAAATGAGGAGAACCTGAGGGCGGAGCTGCACCTCATTGATGAGCGAAGGGAAAGGGCATATATGCGGGCAGAAAACTACCGCCGGCAGGTCAAGTCATATCACGACCAGCAGGTGCGACCAAGGCAGTTCAAGATGGGCGACTGGGTCCTTCGGAAGAGGGAGGTCAGCCGGCCGACCGATGGAGGAAAGTTTGCTAAAAGCTTCGAGGGGCCATATATCATAAAGAAGGTGTTGGCTGATGGGACATTTAGATTGCAGACTCCAACTGGTGGCGACGTTCCGCGAGTATGGAATGCCGCCAACCTTATTAAATTTTATCAATAGATTGTATTCCATCCATGTCTTTTCTTGAGATTTAATAAATCCAGCTCTCTGGCACATCTTGTCTCCAATTCTCAAAAAAAAAGGAGCGACCACAAGAGATCGCTAAAATTGCACGGTGATTCGTGCTAAGACACCCAGTAATGGGTGAAGCGTCGAACCCGGTCAAGCGACCAAGGTTGAAGACGACGCCGTGGCAAGAAAGTCTGAGAGAACGGCTAAGTCTGGAACACAAGATCTGTTGATCGCATGAGCGACCAGGGGATCTTGGGGGTATGGCGACGCCACAAGGGTCAAAGTAACCCGAAAGTGGCTAAGTCAAAAGAGGCGAGGTATTCTCTGATTCAAGTCCGAGGAAACCTGAACGTTAAAAGTAGGATGCGAAAGAGAAGAAGGTGAAACTTGTAAGTAAACAGGTAACATCAAAATACATTCACAGAAATGTTCGTTACATTTCAAGGATAATCTCTTGCATCTACTACAGTACAGTTGAGAAAAATCTCTACGTAAGAAAGGATACTTCCCCATACACCTCCTACAATGAAAAACAACAATCTAAGATTTTGCGAGCGAAGGTCTAGGGGGGACAGGCAGGTGTGAAAGGTAGTTCTGCGGCTGTATGGGCAGGCAAAACTCCGATCACCGGCCGTCCACGACGACCACCTTTCTTCCCTAACATGGAACGGGAGTGGTCGCCCCCAGCCTCGGCAAAAACCCACCGCCCTTCTCCTGCCAAGGAAGGACGGGGGACGGCTCACTTCTCTGTGAACCCCAACCAGCATCACCTAGGTGAGGACGGAGATCTTGGAGCCGCCCGAGCTACTTCAGGTCGCCTAGGGGTCTTCTGGGGAAGTGAATGGCAAGCGGGGCGAGGTAGGGGAGAACCCAGTTCTTCCCCTAACGCAACCTCCTCCGTAGGCCTCACCGGCAAACTGGTGCGACTCTCGCTAGTCCATCGCTCAAGACTTGCGTAGTATGCGCACTCATGCTCCAGGAGGGGTAAGTGCTCATCTTGAAAGCTCTCCCAGGCCATACATTGCAGGGAATGGAGGGGGCATGGAGCATCCCAGTCAATCCGCCCGTCAGGCAGGTGGTTGGCGGAGAGGGCCTCGTACGCCTCACTGAAGTCTTTATAAGGGTTTGGAGGTGGTGGCGGCGGTCTCACCGACGGCCACTGCCGGCGAGGCAACCGGCGACAGAATTCGTAAGGGTCAAGCCCCCCCCCAGTCGTTGGAATTGACTGACTTGGGGGAGGAGGCAGGCTCCGGCGAAGAAGGAGCCGGCCCGTCGGAAAGATCTAGAGAAACAGGAATTCCTTCAAAATGGCAAGAATGGAGAAAAGGAGGGTATTTGGTGATGGAGCAGAGTAGAGGCCAGGGGGACTTATAAATAAGCCAGGGCAAAGAAACCGAAGAGGCGGTCAAGTCTCGAGGCAGCCGAACCAATAAAGCAGCTTTGAGCCGCGCAAAGGTCCAATCAGAAACGATGAAGGGCATTGGATCAATTGGGCGGCACGATGGCCAATCCAGAGATTAAGCTCGGACAGGTAAACGGGCCGGGACTAGGAGTTGGGCCCAAACTAAAACATACATGTTAACCAGCTAAATCAAAAAAAGAGAGTGCTGAAGTAAAGCGCAAAAGAGAGAAAGCACATGGTGAATCTAGAAAATCAAACAACATAGGAGCATTGTATCAAAACGACAAATCATTCCGAAGGAAAAGAGAGAGGCAAGTGTTGGTAAAGCTATGGGGGAACAATGGGGGATTTAGACGGCCGAGCCGGAAGGTCCACCCGCTTTGGATGTGGCGAAGCTGGCTCCTGGATTCTGGTCGCTCTGACCACCTTCCACTTCTTCTTCTTCCTCTTCTTCCGACGCGCTCGAGCTCCCCCCATCCAGATAGGGACTGGGGTTGAACTCGGCCAAGGAGCGGCAGGGAGGAGGGAAGCCAAGGTCGGGGAGAGAGAATCCTTTAGGGAGCTGGGCCAGCCTGTCGTGGAAGACCTGTTGGGCATGGAAGAGTCCGCAATTGAAGGACTTGGTTCCCTCCTTGACCATCCATTGAGCCCCAGGTTCAGTTTTGAGCCAAGCGGCCGTTAGCTCTTCCATCCGCTCCATCGCGACTACCGTGAAGTCAGGAGAGGACTTGAAGGATTCTACCGCTCCCTCTGCATGGCGGACCCGATCGCTCCTCTCCACCTCCAACTGCTGGATCAGGTCATGTTTCTCCCCTTCCAGCTCGACCACTCGAGCAGAAACAGATTCTACCTCCAAGGACAAGGAGGCCTTGTCTGCCTCAAGGGCGACGCAGCGGTTCTCCTGGGAAGCTTTCTCCGCAGCAAGCGCCGCGCAGCGATTTTCTTTCTCCTCCAACTCCTTGGTGAGTTGAGCGACCTCCTCCTGCAGCTCCTTCTGCTTGGCCTCGGCTGCTTTCATGGCCTCGTCCGCGGCGGCCTGGCGACCCCGTTTCCGGCCGACCACCTCAATCATGCCCAGCGTAGCCTGCGCAAAGGGGTGAGGGTTAGGGGCCTAAAGAAAAGGAGTGATGCATAGGAGATCAAGACCAGTACCTGACTGAGCCTCAAAAGGACCATGTTGTCAAGGTCGTCCTCGGAGCCTGCCGAGATACGAGCCTGGTCTTCTGCAGGCAGAGTGATAAGAGTCTCCAGCTGTACGTCCCCTAGGCTTTGGGGCAAGGGAGGGATGCAAAGCCTCGTCGAGCGACCCCCGGTCGCCACCTCGTAGGTCACTGCGGGTGGTGATGGAGGTCGCTCCAAGGCAATGCCCTGAGACGACCCAGCGAGTTCGCCACCCTGCATCACGGGGTGTGGAGGGGATTGGCCAGCCATGGTACCCGGTTCCTGGGTAGCATCTTCTTGGTCCTCCACCACAATTACGGCCGGCGCTCGAGAAGGACCCTCCTCGTGGTGGGATGAAGAACGTTTGCCATGGCCCTTCGTCTCTCTCTTCTTTTTCCTCCCTGCAGTGAAGCGACTGAGCAGGAGATCGCTGTCCATCTCCTCTCCTGAATCTTGTAATTTCACTGGAAACAAAGGAAATGGTCAGCCTTGGGAAAATATAAACTAAACATCTGGGCAAAAGAAAAGGTCACCTACCGAAAGGACCACAGTCAAGACCTTCCTCAGGAATGTCCTTCAGCTGGTCAGGCTGATGCCCCCCGGGGATGTCCCTCAGTAGGTCGGGTTGGTGGCGAAGCTCATCCTGGACAAACTCAAACCCCAACCCGGCAAGGGTTTCCTCTGTCACCACCTCTTTGATGTTCATAACTCCATTATTGCAGAATTGGCGAGTGATAGACAAAAGGGTGGCATCAGGTGGGGGGCGTGGGATGCGACGGAAGGAAGGGCGCCCTGAACCCGTGAAAGGAGATTCGGGCCCCGTCGAAACGAAGACAAAGAAAGGCTTCCAGTCTTTGGTTGACCCCTTCTTATCACTAGCAAAGAGTTTGCTGGACCTCTGGGAAAGACTGGCATAGGACGCCCAATCTTTATGGCCCTTGGTCAGTTTGAAGGTGAATATGAAATGGTCCAAGGTCGGCTTCACCCCTACATCTTTGCACCGGACCAGGTAACCGGCGATGTACCGGTGAGAGTTGGGGACCAGTTGGCACGAGAGAAGGTCCACCACGTTGAGGAATTCGATCAACAACGGGTGGAGTGGGAAGCGCAGCCCCTTCATCAAAGACGCCAGATGGACCGTGAAGAACCCCGACGGTGCGTCTAGAGCAGTTTGAGTACGGGTAGGTCTCATGACCTCGATGGAGGGTCCAACCATGTCAGTGGCATCGGCGAACCCCCGGTCAGTAATTTGACAATGCACAACGCCATGATGTTTTTGTCCAATTTAACCCTTGAGCCCTCATCTACCGGAGTTGAGGAAGGGTATTGCTTCCTTAATCGATGCCGTTTGTGGCCAGGCACGGCCGACGGCAACGGCCGGGGTGATGGAGTGTGGCCGGGGTTACGGTCAGAGGCCGATTGACCGGCTTGGCGAGAATTGGACGATGGGGTAGCCGAATCGGAATCTGAGACAATCATGGCGGCGAGAGAAGGAACTGACCTGGACAGGAAGAAGAATGAGTCGGGTGAGCAGCGGAGTTGTAGACGAACGGTGGTGAAGAAAGCGAAAGGAAGAGATGGCGTCCAGCGGCGGTTTTTAACTGACAACAGGAAGGCGAATCGACAGGCCATGATTACGTATTTGTGGAGATCGTGCCCAAGTGTCGTGCGGAACCCAAGGAACGGCCCGGATCCCCGCTGGAGCGTCCACGTGGACTTTGCAAACTCCCCACTCCTCCGCTTGGCCCAGCTGAGGACTGAGGAGTTGGGGGGCTTGTGATGGGCCGATATTCAGAGGACGGCCCAAATGAACCATTTAAACAACTTCGGGTCAAGCACCTGTGAAATACTCAAGCTGGGCCGGCCCAAGGAGCTCGGCCTAGTTAACCTCAGGCCAAGCGCAGCTGGCAGAGTCAGTCCGGAGAAGGAGACGGAGCTGATTGACCGTTACGGAGCCGGGAAAAGGGGATTGCGCCCTTGGCAGGCTAGACTCCATCGGTTATGCTTCACCTTAATTGTTTAGAGCTCATGTATAAATAGAGGGGACTCGAAAGGGGAGAACTCAAGCTAAATCAAGCTAGTAATACACATCCAATTCTCGAATTCTTGTTCTTAATTTTGTTCTTACGATCCGCTTTGTAAACCGGATCATTTGGTGGGTTTATTGTCCATCAGTCTGATTTTGCTATTTAGTCCTAGGGACTTCTTTGCAATTTTAAAGTTTATTCCCAATTCTTCCGTCAATCTCCTCCTCTGCGTCAATTTTCTTTCCCAATCTTCGATCAACTCTCTCTCTCTCTATCTCTCTCTCTCTCTCAATCGCAGGCTCTGGCGGAATTTTCAAGGCTTCGGCCCTCAAAGCTTCTCTTCGATCTTCCTTTTCTTCGATTCTCAAGGCTTCGGTTCTCAAAGCCTCTTCAAGATTGGACTTCATCTTCTAAGGTTCTCAATCTATTTTTTTTTTCTAAAATTTTCAATATTTAATTGCTAATTCTTTCTGATCTGGGTCTCACTTATTTTCCCTGATCTTCCACATCTATGAAATTGAATTTCATTTATTAGTTGTACACTGTTATTGTAGAGTGTTTTAATCTATATGGGTCTGTCTTTGACTACAAAAGAGAAGATCATAAAAAAAGGTGAGTCGCGGGTGAGATAGGGAGAATAAACGGTTGTCCCCTTCCAAGGAGAGAGTCCCTGTAAATGAAAGCGAGATTCTTGTTACCTTCATTGCAGCTCTTGTTTTTCTATTTCATCAAATAGAAAAACACTCTCTCCACTAGGTGCACCGAAGGAAACGCCCAAAAAGGCGTTTCCTTCGGTGCACCTAGTGGAGAGTGTGTTTTGAAACACTCCACACTTGTTCCAATCAGAATTGGACATGTGGCTTTTTTGCCATCTCATTTAAATGAAGTCAAAATTGGTGTGATTTTGCTATTTAGTCCGGGACTTCTTTGCAATTTAAAGTTTATTCCCAATTCTTCCGTCAATCTCCTCCTCTCCGTCAATTTTCTTTCCCAATCTTCGATCAACTCTCTCTCTCTCTATCTCTCTCTCTCAATCGCAGGCTCTGGCGGAATTTTCAAGGCTTCGGCCCTCAAAGCTTCTCTTCGATCTTCCTTTTCTTCGATTCTCAAGGCTTCGGTTCTCAAAGCTTCTTCAAGATTGGACTTCATCTTCTAAGGTTCTCAATCTATTTTTTTTCTAAAATTTTCAATATATAATTGCTATTTCTTTCTGATCTGGGTCTCACTTATTTTCCCTGATCTTCCACATCTCTGAAATTGAATTTCATTTATTGGTTGTACACTGTTATTGTAGAGTGTTTTTATCTATATGGGTCTGTCTTTGACTACAAAAGAGAAGATCATAAAAAAAGGTGAGTCGCGGGTGAGATAGGGAGAATAAACGGTTGTCCCCTTCCAAGGAGAGAGTCCCTGTAAATGAAATCGAGATTCTTGTTACCTTCATTGCAGCTCTTGTTTTTCTATTTCATCAAATAGAAAAACACTCTCTCCACTAGGTGCACCGAAGGAAACGCCCAAAAAAGGTGTTTCCTTCGGTGCACCTAGTGGAGAGTGTGTTTTGAAACACTCCACACTTGTTCCAATCAGAATTGGACATGTGGCTTTTTTGCCATCTCATTTAAATGAAGTCAAAATTGGTCTGATTTTGCTATTTAGTCCTAAGGACTTCTTTGCAATTTTAAAGTTTATTCCCAATTCTTCCTTCAATCTCCTCCTCTCCGTCAATTTTCTTTCCCAATCTTCGATCAACTCTCTCTCTCTATCTCTCTCTCTCTCTCAATCGCAGGCTCTGGCGGAATTTTCAAGGCTTCGGCCCTCAAAGCTTCTCTTCGATCTTCCTTTTCTTCGATTCTCAAGGCTTGGGTTCTCAAAGCTTCTTCAAGATTGGACTTCATCTTCTAAGGTTCTCAATCTATTTTTTTTCTAAAATTTTCAATATTTAATTGCTATTTCTTCATCTCCGGTCGGTTCTCAAAGCATCTTTTCTTCTACAAGATTGCCTGAGGGGTGTTTTCTGGGCGATCTTCATGTAAGGATTTTGTACCTATTTCTATGGCTGTGGCTTTGTCTGTGTCCGATTGCCTATGTTAACAATTGTTCCAATCAGAATTGGAACAAGATTGGGTTTCATCTTCTAAGGTTCTCACTATATATCTTTTCTAAAATTTTCAGTATTTAATTGTTATTTAAGCTTCTCCTCTTCTTGTTCTTGTTTTTATTATTTTTGTGGCTTGTTTTTTTCTTTTCTGGTACCCTTCTTTTGCTCAAACTCACTCTCTTAATACTCATCAAATTTTTTTTCTTTTTTGATATATCTACTATATATTATGATGATGGGATGTGGAATTTGATGCTATGGAAAATTTTTTTGAGGTGGAATTTGAAGCTATTAGGATAGTATTTTAAAACTTCATTGCAAATGGAATTTTTTTGAGGAGGTGCATGATTGTATGTTTCCAGTTTATTGTAAAAAAAAATGGATTTCCAGTGGTTCACTGCAAATTGTGTATTCATCGCAAATTGAAACATCATCATCCCATTTTTTACCAGTGGTATGTTTAAAATTGATTTTTTTATCGATTGTAATTTTTAATATTTTACTTTGTGATATTTAAGTTTTTACTTTGTTTGGACTCACATTTTTATAAGCTCTTTTGATATTTTAGGTTAGGAAAGGTCAATTTAAGTTGGAAAAAATCTATATAAAAGATAGCTATGGATAATAGAATAGGCTAATTGTTGTTTGTAGGGCAGCACAACTGATTTGAGATGTAAGAAATACACTGCAACTTCAATACTGATATTACAAATATTCGACCTACCAAGATCCTAAAAAATGTCTTCTCCATGAATTAAACACACAGAATTAAGTAAATATTTTGTTAGAAATCATATTTGTCATTATTAGTTTGCAATTGACTATAGTATCTATGTTAAAACATTACAGACTCATGTTCACTACAAATGCTAAAATCTATTATGCCAACAACTTTTAAATTTCATCTTTATATATACACCTTCTAAAAAAATATGGTGATAACACTATAACACAAAGTAAAAAAATATGGTGATAACACTATAACACAAAGTAAAAAAATATGGTGATAACACTTTTAAATTTCATCTTTATATATACACCTTCTATATAACACTATCTTTGTGAATAGGCTTGCATTTTGTCTCATTTTTAGTTTCACTTTTAGTTTCATTATAAATACTTAGTGTTTGATCCCATCTCTTTCGGCTAAAGGGAATAATTGTTCATTGAAATTAATTACGAAGTACTATTCTTTTGGTTTCCGTTGAATTTTGATTCTTCATCCACGACTAGAATCTCACGTATAAGCTGCAGAATATGGGGCAGAATATGAGGCCGTATATGAACCTCAATTTATTGTACGTGCAGGTACAACATGGTGGACCAAGGTCTTGTAAATGAGCCAGTGTTCTCTTTCTGGCTTAACCTTGATACAAATGCACAGGATGGAGGAGAACTTGCTTTTTGTGGTGTTGATCCTAAACAATTTAAGGGGGAACACACTTATGTTCCTGTCACTAAGAACTAAGAAGGGTTACTGGCAAGTACCAGAGTATTACCCTTGTTTTTATTTAATGTTATTGATGTTGTCTGTGATTTATGTATGGATGAATGTATGGATTTTTGTTACCTTTTTTTATATTTGTGGTTACTTTGAGACTTGAAATATTATAAGGTTTAACTTTTTAATTTGCTATTTTGGTTTGATTTTAGTCTAATACTCCCTCCGTCCCAAAATATAAGCAACACTCCACTATTTAAAAATCACAAAAACTTTTATTTATTCTTATATTTTCATTGATTATTTGATAGAATAAAATATTCTTGTCACCACTTATTTTGTAGAACTTTTAACGTAGTTTTTAAATATTTAAGTTTTATTTTTTATTTGTAGACCATTCTTTAAATAAAATGGATTGAAAAAATTCAAAATATTACTTCATTTAGCGTAGTGTTGCATATATTTTGGGACGGAGAGAGTACAAGGTTTAGAAGGTGCAACTATATTGATCATAGAATGTACTATCTTAATATCAATTTAAACTATTTACGGAATATTTATTACCCACATGATCTAATTTTATTCATTTTTTTGATAACATTATTTATTTGGTAGAATTTTTAAATTTTATTTTTTAATTAAAAGTATCTTTAATTTTTAAAGATAACATAGTACTTCCTCCGTCCTAAAATAAACTTCTCAGTTTGACTTTTGTAGTCAAACTTTTTAAATTTTGACCGTATATTACGGAAAAAATACATTGAATTTTCATATAAATTTATTAGCAATAGATTCATTTTGAAGCATAATTTTGAAATATATAATTTTTATAAAATATTTTTTATATAAAAATTGAGATATTGATGGTCAAAGCCAAGCATTAGAGACCGTAAAAAGTCAAATGAGAAGTTAATTTTAGGACGGAGAGAGTAATAATGAAAGGGATAGAAAACAGTCAAGTACACCAATATACGGAGTAATAATGACTTGGGGATTGATTCTTTTCAAATTCCCATAATGAATTGGGGAGTACTCCGTAATTCTTTTCAAGGAGTACCTACGTTGGAATATTGAATGGAGTATCTAAAAACCAAATTCATTCAAGTACCTACCTTGGAATATATGGAATATCCAAATTTGAAATTTTAAAAAAATCAAACGAAAAATTAATCTCCCTCCTATAATAATGTTGTATTTCATACATGAAATTAGGGGTGCCTCTTTCGTGACTGTTTGGTATTTTTAAAGAACTTGTGCCATATCGTTAATATTCAAATGACTCGGTATTAAAGAATTTATGACAGTTTTGTGTCGTTTTGTAGAAAAAAATATCGTACAATTTTCAAAAAAAATTACAAATTGGGTAGTTCCATTTTAGAAAAAAGAATAAGATTATCAAAAAAAATCGAGTACCCATGAAAAAACTTGCAATACAACAAAAATGTTGTGTATTATAATAAAAAAAAGTTCTATTTTAGAGAAAAATTTATTAAATTATTTTCAAAACTATTGTACTCCGTAATAGTTATCGAGAATTTGTATTTGCAATAATGACAAATAGAGGAGAACGGAGAAAATAATTTCTACCGGATGAATATATCAATTCAACTTCTAAGTTTTCTTTCTTGAAATTTATTTTTTAAAATTAAATAAAACAAAACATCGATCTTAAAGTTAACGATAAATATACAAAAAATTCTTGATGTTGTCCTGTTTTATCATTATATTAATATACAAAAAATTATGAGTGTGAATCATAAAAATAGTGAGATGAAAAAAAATAATTGAGTAAATTTCATAATTGGTCCTTTATTACATGTGGGTTTCCCTATTTAGTTCTCTATTACCAAATATTACCCCAGTTGTCCTTCTTTTATGGGTATCTTTCCACAAATAGTCCTTTTTTATCTTCAATCATGTTGGTGTTAATTTGAGAGCTAAAAGTGTAATTTCACAATAATAATATATCTTTTTTGTGATATACAATTCCAAAGGTTGTTCCATTTGCATCGTTTGTGAATTACAGTCGCTTTCTACTACAACTATAGTCTAAAAATGTGATCTTTTGTCGGAATTCTAACCACAATTATAGTCATTATTTTTGTGTTATCCGCTTAACCAATATCAGAACACGTGATTAGATATAATGTAGATGTCAAATTCTACTTTTAGCCTTTAAATTAAAACTAACATGGCAAAAGATCAAAAAAGGACCATTTATGGAAAGGCGCACTTAAAAAAAGGACTACAGGGGTAATATTTGATAATAGAGGACTAAATATGGAAACCCCCTGTTATAAAGGACCAATTGGATCAGATCCAATCGGATAAGATCAGATTCAATCAGATCAGAACTACAAAAAATCAAATCAGATCGGAAAAAATAAGTAGAAATGTGATAATGATAGTCTTAAGTCTGTTAAGACTAGAATAAGAGTATATTGATAGTGTGATCTGTCAATTGCCGGCGATTGATGACCACATTCAAGTGGCCGGTGGCGATGTGTAGTAATGTGACAATGGTAGTGTTGTAGTTACAATGTAGCGAGCTTCAGCACGCTCTTGACTAAGGTTCCGTTCCGTTCAACTTATTTTTTCTGATCTGATCTAATTTTAATAATAACTGATCTGATCTGATCTGATTGGATCTGATCGAATCTGATCTGATCTGATTGGATCTGATCGAATCTGATCTGATCTGATTGGATCTGATCTGATCTGATCTGATTAATTATGATTTAATTTAAAATTTCAAATCAATAATTTGATTTGACTTTATAATAACGTCTGAAAATTGTAATAATAATTCATATTATAATATAATCAATATTTTTTATTTAATGATTATTTTTTAATAAAATAAAAATAGTTAATTCATATATTAGAATAATCATTCATATTATAATGTAATAATATTTTTTATTTTATGATTATTTTTTTGTGAAATTAGAATATTAATTTAATATTTTATTAATTACTTCATATATACATTAGAATAAATATTTAATTTAGATATACATTAAAAAGTAATTAAATTTTGATAATCAATATATAGAAGAGATAGTATTTTTATTAAAATATCTCATCCTTATAAAAGATCAAAACTTTAGAAACTCAAATTACAAGTAGCGATAAAAATATATTTTAAAAGTAGAATTAGATTGACATTGTCAATGTATTTTAAAACTAATTTTTCCGACGTCTAATAATTAAGGATTACTTTCTCAGTTTTCTATTTAACCTATTTTTAAAGTTTATTCTTTTTCATTTTTAAGAATAATAATAATAATAATAATAATAGTAATAATAATAATAATAATAATAATAATAATAATAATAATAATAATAAATTTATTTTGATGTAGTTTTTAAATATATAAATTTTATATTTTAATTTTACACCTACAATTAAATAAATTAAATTAAAAATAAAATTAGTCAAACTTTATAAACAGAAACTAAAAGATAGTTTTAAAATAGAGAGACTCCTGCACAACCGTCACAATTGGGAAGCCATCCACTAATTAGGAAAAGTGAAGAGACAATTTGAGTTTTTGCCTAGGGAATATGCGGCAGTGGCGGTACATTTTCCATACTCCATAAAGTATGCAACTAGTATCATGCAACTACACAACGGTCACATTTGCACCAACATCTCCAGAGTTGGTTCACATTTTATCTTCTGCATATATAAAGCTGCACACAATTGAAAAATCCAAGATCTTGAAATCTTTTTTATGATTACATAATGACCAAAGAAGAAGAGGAAGAAGAAAAAAAAATCCAAATTTGATTTTTTTCTGCAGGTAGGGATTTGGAATAAAAACCTTACTTTTTTTTGCTTATTCCCTTGAACAATTGTTTTTTTTATTTCAATTTTTATCTTACCCATACATTTTTTTACTTTAACCAACTAAAAAAAATTAATTTTGAAAAGCAAAAGCATGAGATGATGATCATCCTTCTTGGCCACTAATCAAATAGAGCGTAAAAATTTCAAAAACCATGTCACAACTTGAAAAAAAAGGTCAATTCTTAACATGGTATAATCTCTTGTCTCAAAAATACTATCCACTATATATCTCACTATGAAAATGTTGTCACATAACATAGAAGCCATCTCGAATTGCATGAAAGGCAATTAACACTTCACTGTTTTTTAAAACATCCCCCAAATAATGAATACCCACTCTCAAAAATTAAATGATATGATCCTTCTTGGTTGCTGATGGACAATAAACTCACCAAATGATCCAGTTTACAGAGCGGATCGTAAGAACAAAATTAAGAACAAGAATTCGAGAATTGGATGTGTATTACTAGCTTGATTTAGCTTGAGTTCTTCCCTTTCGGGTCCCCTCTATTTATACATGAGCTCTAAACAATTAAGGTGAAGCATAACCGATGGAGTCTAGCCCGCCAAGGGCGCGATCCCCTTTTCCCGGCTCCGTAACGGCCAATCAGCTCCGTCTCCTTCTCCGGACTGACTCTGCCAGCTGCGCTTGGCCTGAGGTTAACTAGGCCCAGCTCCTTGGGCCGGCCCAGCTTGAGTATTTCACAGGTGCTTGACCCGAAGCTGTTTAAATGGTTCATTTGGGCCGTCCTCTGAATATCGGCCCATCATAAGCCCCCCAACTCCTCAGTCCTCAGCTGGGCCAAGCGGAGGAGT